GAGTGGGCGGTAATGGTCAGAAATTCAGGGGGAGCGGGCTTAAGAAAACTGTCCCGCTCAGGTCTCTAGGCTGCGTGTCAACACACACAAGTTTTTTTTCCGCGCTCCCCCATCTCCACCCCCAATCATTAGTGCCGGTTGTTCGGTCTTTGACAGAACATATAGGACAATTTTTTAAATAGCGCCATAAACAATTTATTTCAAATTTAAATCAAGCACTTTCAAGGACTTATGTTTGTTTTGAAGTACTTTCCAGGCCTTGAATCCATATGTCTGAAATTCAAGTACTTTCAAGAAGTGTGGGAACCCTGTATGATATAACGCAGCGCCTGAAAATATGCTTATTGGAAGTTACCTAGCTTGGACTATTTTCAGGCGTAACTACAGAAGAGTCAAGTTTTAAATAGGAAAAATATAGAAACTCTCTGGTCACTGGACCACGCGTTTGCATTTTCATGTGGATGGAGATTTTTTTATAAACGGAAGAAGGAAAAACTCAGTTTATAAAAATACACGTGTACGTGTGAACATGGCCTTATTTTAACTAAAAAAGACAATAGTAAATAAAATAAGAACAAATAAATTAATGACAATCAATAGCACAAACAAAAACAATAAAAATGAAAGTGTTCCTTTAAGAGACTTCTTTCAAAAACATGAAAGAAAAATCTTACTGACCCCAAAAATTTCAATGATAGACTGTGTTGCCCAGTTTATATGGTAAAGCATTTTTTTAATATATATATATATATATATATATATCACATGCATGGTTAGTAAAATGTTATGACGCATGTGTCATTCACTGTATAATGATATCCACTCTCCAGTCTATATATAACCCAAGAAGGACTGCTGGTTGCTTAAAGCAACAGTGAGCTTTGTTTGAGATTATATAAAATACTACCTGATTCCTGGGTCACTCATACTGTGTCCATGGTAACGATAGGTCTGCAGCTCCATCAAAATGGGACCCTATGAATATAAATTTCAGATGTCTTATTATTGCTAGATAACTGTTTATATTCCATGAGTGTATATTCAAACAGAAAACATTTTATAAGTGTAACAATTAGGGGTGCTCCTATCAGGATTTTTGAGGCCGATCACCGATTGCCGATCACAGAAAGCAGTATCTGTCGATACCGATCACCGATATTGATCTTTTTAAAGCCATTTATTCAGGGTGGAGGGGAGCATTTTTTTTAGATTTTTCAAAAATATATATTTATCTCACCTAAATGTTCGATCATGAAGTGCATTTTTGTTTTTACAGTCATGCAATTGTTGCACAATAGCTTACACACAGCACAACACAGTTGCTCAAGCAAGTGGCAAAACATTTAAACTACTTTTCTTATGTTATCATAAACATTCTAAATTAAAACTTACCATTGACAGAAACAGTCAGCTCTACTGCCTTTTCTTTTGCACTTAATTCTTTATTACAAGCAATCCTGCGGTTCATAAAGAACTTTGTTTTTCTACCTCCACGAGTGCCATCTATTATTGCCTTGTTTATCTAAAAGTGCTCTTTTCCTTTAAACCTAGCCAACAAGCCATATGTGTTGACTGTGAAACACAGCAAACTTTAATTATATGCATTTATGGTGTAATTTCTACATTTTCGTTTCCATATTTACAGCAAACAATGCGCTGTCACTTTAATTTAGCGCATGCAGCGGAAACGATCTCTGCACTGCTGCAGACGCACCGCTCCTGGAACGCACTTCCGGACCGCAACCGTGTTGCATGAATGCTTTAAAATCCGTTAAACATGAGCGTGGAAAAAAATATGCACCGCATACGCACTGCAAACGGAGACCGGCGCGAGTGCTAAATGGTTTAAACACTGGCAAGAATTAAAAAGAAATGCAATTCATAAACTTTAGTGACGATGTAACACTACCTCGATTGTGCAAGTGATAATTCCTGTCAACTGTGCAGCTCGCTTATAGTGCAGACGTGATGCGATTTGAAGCCATTTGCGCATTTTGAGAGAGAGAGAGAGAGTGCGCGCGGTCATTCACTCGCACTGTTTGTGAAATTACGTCTTACAGAAAGTTTTCAAATTACTTTAGGAGTTATTTAATGAAGAAATATGAATTGTACCTCACCTTCAGCATGATCGGCTTTGAGCTCCATACGTCTTATGGTCTGCATCGTGCGGTAGTACTGAAGCCCCTCCTCTCTTGTAAGCACAGCCTGCAGTGGAGGGCCCTCCTCCAGCTTGTGTACATCACATTTCTGCCAAAAGAAAAAAAATGTTTATGCTTTCAAATGCATTAAAATGTTTTACCGCCTTGCTGCTCACTAAGGCTGCATTTACTTGATCAGGAATACAGTAAAACACTAATATCGTCAAGTATTATTACAATTAATTTGAAATAACCGTTTTCTATTTTATTATATTTTAAATGGGTCATATGATGCGATTCCAAGTTTTCCTTTCTCTTTGGCGTGTTACAAGCTCTTGGTGCATAAAGAAGATCTGTAAAGTTGCAAAGTCCGACGCGTGCTTGTGGTGTTCGGCCAATCACAATTCACTGGGTCAGCTGGCCAATCAGAGCAGACTGCGCTTGTCAAAGGAGGGGGCTTTGTTGACAACGACGCGTTTGAGAGAGGCGGGGCATAAAGGACCTACAATAATGTACAGTATGTAACAGTACAGTAATGTATTTGAAAAATAATGTGTTTTTTGAACATTAAAGCATGTCAACGTATTCTGTTACACCAAATACACAAAATAATGATCTTTAAAATAGCATCATATGACCCCTTTAAAATGTCATTTATTTCTATAATAGAAAAGCTACATTTTCAGCAGCCATTACTCTGTCACATGATCCTTCAGAAATTATTCTAATATACTGATTTGGTGCTCAAAAAACACTTCAAAGTATCAATGTTGAAAGCAGATGTGCTGCTTAATATTTTTATGTAAACTGTGGTGAATTAAAAAAATAATAATAATATTTCAAAATATTAATTTCTTTAAAAAAAAAATGTACCAACGCAAAACTTATGAACGGTAGTGTATATGCACTAAAATAAATATTACATAATAAATTAAGCAACTGCTGATCTGATAAACTCACCTTAATATCAAAGGAGGCCTGAGGGGTAAAGTCTGCATAGGTCCTGGCAGATACCACCACTCTTGCGCCCTATGAAACATAAAAAAAAATTTGTAAATACATTAAAAAAAAATTTTTTTTAAATTAGCTGAGAAAATGAGTGAAGGTGGTGTTTAAAAAAAAAAAAAAAAGCAGTCACATGGAAACACACACATCTGACAGGAACTGAAATGTTAACAACCCCGGTCAAAGCACTCTGTCTGAAGCAGGAAGTAAGCCCAAGGAAAACTAAATATATCTGTAATAATCCGACCTACATGACCACTGTCATTTTCCTCGACAACTACATCAACAAACCTGCAATCTAATACCAATAAATCAACACACAGGCCTACATTTGGAAAACTGACACAGTGCATGGTATCATCTATTCTACACTGACTTTGCACATCTCTTTGATTATAGGTTTGGATGTAGAAAACTGAAACATCATAAGGAATCCTTCCATAATTAGATGCGGGACCAACATGCTGAGCAGATCTGTTGCTTCTGATATCTAACAGTCACAAACAACAAATAAAGTCTGTAGAAGAACAATTTGTTTAGTGATTGAAGTGTCATCGGCCGAAGCATTGTGAGTTGGAGTATGCAAGTGCTCTGGGTAAAGTGGAAGGGACATGCAATACACCATAAGGAGGGTTAAAATGATGTTAAGCAAAGGGAGTCTCTCCAGCCAGGCTGTGGGTGATCTCTGGGAAGGAATTATCAAGGCCCAGGAGGCTCTCGGCTGTTGGGGGACAGTGGGGGTCTGTGCTGGTTACGCTGAAACTGCTGTTAGCTACTGCAGGGGATAACTGTGCTGGACTGGCGGCTGGGTTAGGCAACTTAACTGTAATTAGGGCAGGTGATGGAGAAACATCTATAACGGGACTGATGATCTTTTCAAATATAGGTTTTTCTTTTTCTGATACTCTTTCTGTAAGTGGAGGAACCACGTTTATTTCTTCTGAGATGGATAAACCACTGGTCATCAGCGGTTCCACGTAACTTTCTTTCTGAGCTATAGCCTCAGAGGAAACAACATCTGTCAGAGGTCTGTTGTGTGGCCCCAAGTGTCCTAAAGCCTGGCCACTGCTAGTGTGTCCTAAATCTTTGTATTCTGCAGGAGGTATCTGTGTTAGAGGAGGGGAAGCTAAAGGGCTGTGGGGTTGTGCATCTTTTAAGCGTGAAAGGGGGTCGGGATCATGATCATGTGGAGCGGTCAAATTAGCATATTCGCTCTGGACCGCCAGGAGCTGCAGAACGGCCCGGAGAGTGGAGGACTGTAAAAAGAAGGGCACAGGTCACTCCAGAGGCTCAGACTCAGAAGGCCATACGAAGGGAACATTTAAAGGAACAAGAAGAGACTTTTAGGCATTTAGAGACCACAAAGAAGGCATTTTACTGCACAAACCAATCTAATCTATGCTAACCTACACTAGGCTATTCACAGGCAATAAAAAGCTGTTGATGGCTACCAGTCAGATAACATTCAAATGCTCAAAATGGCAGATGTTGACAGACACTGATTTCTAGATAGCAGGGTGCCCAATAATCAATATAATGCCAATATCCACATATGGAATTTTCATTATGAAATTGAGATGTACAGTGATATGAACTGAACACATTTTGTGCAATATTTACTCAGAATTAACTAAAAAAAAGTATGTATTGGCAAAACAGTTGACAACTTACTGACACTGACATTTTTGTTCATCACATGGACATATATTATTGGCCAAATCATATCACAACTTCAAATACCAGAAAGCCACAATGTATCTCAAACAGGTTTCAATTGATGTCTCTCTTCCTATAAAAAAAGATTCTAAATCCACCAGAGGAAAAAAGGGTACTTTCCATGACAAAACGGGGAGTGTTTTTAACATACACACGTCTGTGTGTGTGTGTGTGTGTGTGTGTGTGTGATTTAAAGGTATGATGTGAGATATAGTAAATGGCTCGGGTTAATAGAGCAGAATTATTCCCCTCAAACCCATAACACAGCAAACTAAAACAGTCACGATTATATGAGCAGCAAGTAAAAAGCATGTAGCAGAAGCGTGTTTAATATGTCAAAACCAGTAATTGGAAACTCAGTGAGGAAGAAAAGATGATCTAAAAATAATAAGTGAGGAAGAAAGTCTTCGTAATGAAATAATTTCAAGCAAACATAATAATCATGTACATAACTACATAGAGAACAAAAACTGAAGAAAAGAGCAGATGGCACAGACGTCATGTCAATAAGCCCATTTCTAAAACTACCATCCTTACCTCTGATACCAGTTCGGCTCCCTTAAAGGAAGCCCATGGAACAGTAAAAATGAGCAAATGTGATATTGAGAGAGAGAGAGAGAGAGAGAGAGAGAGAGAGAGAGAGAGAGAGAAATACATAAGAATTAGTAAAGAGAAAGAGAAAGAAATGTGAATCATTATCACGAAAACAAAGATGCTTGACTTGTTCTGCAAAATTCCATTCATTTTATTGTGCCAACAGACCAACGACATTCATTTCATTGTGTCAACAAATCTTTTATTATTAGACTTAGGGTCACAGTTAGAGGAATAAAACTGATACCGTGATTACAGATGAACTGCAACTTTTAATATGTCATCTAGAGTAAGAAATTAATCAGGGCTCAGGGGAAAAAAGACATCAATATACCCGTGTTTTGAATTCCTTTGTTGTTTTATTATATGTTCAGGCCAATGTAGTTATGGGATTAATAAGGAGTTTATCATATCTAAGAACAAATGTGTAGTTCACATGGAAGTATTTTTCATAAGAAAAAAAAACAAAGTAGGACAGATAAGAAACAGCATTTACATGTCAAACTAGCAATAAATAATAGAGGTATATAATCTAAAAAAGTGACTGGCCAATTGTTTAAAATAAAATATTAAAATCTATTAAAATTTGATTAAAGTATTTGAAGTCACTTTGAAGACACTAAGTGAGTATGTTATAAGGTTTTGGAGAAACATGCCCTCATAAAGGTATAAATATGCCCCTTAAAATATTTAACAGTAAAAATATTGCCTCTTAATAACAACATTAATAATAATAATATACATAAATATCTTATTAATTCTTATATGTTATATATAATTTTGGACACCCTTATAATGTTGTAAACTCCTACTTGACAAGAACTGAGTGACATTAAACTATTAGAAACAGACTAAAACGTTGCTGTCCACTAAATGTTGCATAAAACAGAGTATCAACCATCTGGACATTTGCCACTGGACAGTAAATATGATGAAAGACAGACTGTCTCTCTCTCACTGAGGTCACCTTTTATTTCTGACAGAGAATTACAGAAACGGACTACCATTTCAACCAAACGTTTCCTGAAAAGTACATTGTTTCTCATTTGTTACAGTGTTTTATTATAGGTTAACGTTAGTTCAATGACAGTTTGTTAACTAACCAGTTTTAGACGTTACCCTCCCAGTGCATTTTAGCTAGCTAGCCAAGCTAAATCACTTTGTACAAACAGTAAAATATCTGATTATACTTACATCAATAATAAAAAGAAATGCTACATTAGTTGACGTGAAATAACCAGCACAAACGTGAGAATTTAACAGCAATGTGTCTTTAGCGAGGTGTCAGCCGGGCCTTGAGTACGTTACCAGGGCAAGGTCAACATGCATTACTGCGCTTCATTAGCCTTCAAAACATTCGTAAATTTGCTTTACTAAGCAAAGCAGCACACTTTATGAATCAAGGGATAAAATACTTACGTTCCTGCTGGCGCTGCCCTTCAGAACGTTAGAAATGATGGTTAGCATCTTTCGCATAATATTAACCACAGCTAACCAGAAACAGATCTCCTTCAGTCCTTCTCTCACACAAACCAGCGCAGCGAACGAGGTTTACGCCCGCTGCAGATTCGCTGCACATTCCATTGGAAATACCGCCGCCTGCTGGCCAGAGCCCGCACTACAACAGCGTTTCTCAGGCCTGTTTCTGAGGTTCCTGCATCACTAGCATCTCAAATGTTGTATTCTCCTTTCAGAGTGACATATGGTACTTCATGCATCAAAAAATATGTTTGTTAATTTTGTTTTGTTTTTTTAACCAAAGCACCATTGCAAGTGCACTGATCCACAAACAAGGCCCACTTACTTGTGCGCTAACACAAAGAACTACATTTCAAAACAATTGTAAATGTTTAGCATTTATTTTAGAATTGTGAGGTGTATAGCACTGTATTGTTTAGTTAATGCATGAAATTGTATACAAATATGGCATCTAACCTGATAAAGGTCTATTTCTGTCTTTTTCCTTTTTGCAGGGTACTGTATTTTAAAGATAATTTTGTAAAATGCAAATATGCTTTACAGATCTTTGTTAGTAAGATTTTAAACACTGTTTTCCACTCATGTTCAATGAACCATAAACAATTATTGCACATGCATCTGTGGGACAGTCAGACACTAACAGTTTATAGGCAACAGGCAATTAAGGTGACACTTAAAATACCTTACGACATAAAAACACAAAAAAAGATGCCCAAGATCACCTTTGTGAACATGCCATAGTCCTGCTGCAGGGAGGTATGAGATGTGCAGATGTGGCCGGAGCAATAAACGGCAATCTCCACAATGTACGACACATAAGACATTGCTGCAGGGAGACTTGAAGGGCATCTAATCATCCTTGTAGTGACAAACCACATGTAATCATGTGTCCCCCACCCCCACCCCTCCCAGAAATATCAGGGAATTTGCGAGAGCCTTGGTGATAGAGTGGAGTAACATCTCACATCAAGAACTGGCAAATCTGTTGCAGTCCACACGGATGTGATACACTGCAGTACATTTTCATTGCAAATTTGCTGGAAATATTAATATAATAAAATGTTAATAAGTAACATTTATATATATTTTATATAATTAATTATATAAAATAAATTAATTAATTAATTATTTATATTATATTTTTTTATTTATATTTTTTATCTCTCTCTCTATATATATATATATATATAAGAGTTGTCACTGAGACTTGTGATGAATATGACTGAAATATTTGCAATACAACTGAAATATTTATATTATTATATTGATGAACCATGATTTGACTTGCAGGTTGATGGAAGATGGAGGAACATTCTCAATTTGTAGGATATTTGGTTGGACAAAAATGGATCTGTTTCCCCTGAAGACATAAATAAGTGCATCTGGAAAAAGTGAAGATATGATATCCATGATTGTCAATTATTATGAGCAGATACACCTTTCCATCATGAAGTCTAACATAAATTCCAACACATGAGGCATCTTTATTATTAATCAAAAATCCATATAAGGGTCATTCTACAGAAACGTCCACTTTTGGTATGGCAAGATTTCTTAAAATGTATTTCTTTTTTTAACATTTAAACTTAGACCACATTATTAGATTGCCTTTTGACTTTATGAATA